TTGAGTTCGGTTCTTGGAAGAATTAACGATCTCGTAAAGGAAAAATTACACAGAATACTTTAAAAAAAAAACAAGGATAGAAACAAATTTGTGAAATTGAAAAAAAAAATTAACCTGTAAACGCATTGAACTGGCAAGTAAATCACTAGCATTGGAGCAAATACCGGCTACTGTACATGCGCCCTTAAGTTTCTGTGAGGTGGAATGAAATTTTCCCCGCTATAAGGGCATGTTTACAGACAACAGGAGGCAACTATGGAAACCCTAAAACACTCAGTCACTTCGAACTGCAACAGAAGAGAAGTTGAAAGCCTGCAGAGCTAAATGTATTACTAGTGGGGTGGGACTAAGGCCCTTGTACTGCGGCCACTTCTGGCCTATTGTACCAGCCTCAGATGATAGGTGAGGGTGATTGTGGAGCAATTGGTGGAATGAAGATTGGCAGGAGAAACCGAAGTACTCGGAGAGAACCTGCCCCAGCGCCACTTTGTCCACCACAAATCCCACTTGACCAGAACCGGGATCGAACCCGGGCCGCCGCGGTAGGAAAGAGCTAAATATAAGTACCACTGGCTCTTTTTAACTTGTAATGAAAAATGCTGGCTTTTTTGCATGATCTGTATCTAAGTATAGCTTTAATTGCAAATGGATCATCCAGTGATTACATAAAATTAAATTAGATACTGATTTGTTGGTCTTAAAATAATGTAAAATCAATTTTAATCTTTGGTACGAACTATTTACGTGCGTATTTTGGACGTTTTTCATGCATAAATATTTAAGGGATTATTAGAGCATAAAGTCCGGTCCCCAATAATAAAACATATATATCAACAGTGTGACACACACTGCGGAAACAGTGAACATTAAGAATACAAATCGACCGCAAAATGGAGTAGAGTATAACTGCTGTTTTCTGTTTCGTATTGCTACCGATTATGATGAAATCCGAATTGAAGTAGTTTCCCCCTCAATTTTAAGACATCCCTGGACTATAACAGAGAAGAGGGTTAATCCAAAAACCTTGAAGAAGGAAGCGGATTTGATAAAGGGGACTCGACATTTATGTCACGGATGCAACTGCTTTGCTAAGCTGTTTTTCCTGTCATGGGTTAGGCCTCTAGCCTGTTCTCATTCCGAATTCAATCTAAACCTATTAATCTTACAGACAAATGTTAAGACTCCTTGCAGAAGGGACCCGCCCTAGCAAGGCCTCTACCAACACAGACCAATAAAACAAGGGGAAAAAAGCAGATACACACTCAACCAGTATAAGACAGTACACACCTTAGGTCGTGCGGCCACTAGATTGGCATTTGTGGTGTAATATGCAATCAAAAGCAGTTGCTGTTGATTTTTGTTGTATCCGCTAGAAAGAGAATCCTAGATATACGTAGGTGTCCGTTGGAGTGCGTCTCCTGCCTTCAGATGATGCTCTCTGGTTGGATGTTCCCACTCTGTGGAACGCGATGAATTACGTTTAGGCAGAGGGGAAGGTGTCTGAGAACAGGGTGTTGAGGAGAATATTTGGACCGAAGAGAGATGAAGTGACAGGAGGTTGGAGAAAACTGCATAATGAGGAGCTTCATAACTTGTACTCTTCTCCAAGTATAATGAAAATGATCAAGTCAAGGAGGATGAAATAGCATGTAGCACGAATGGGGAAGAAGAGGAATGCATATAGGATATTTGTGGGAAAGCCAGAAGGAAAGAGACCACTGGGAAGACCAAGGCGTAGGTGGGTCGACAATATTAAAATGAATCTTAGAGAGATAGGACGGGAGGGTATGGAATTGGATTGATCTGGCTCAGGATAGGGACCAGTGGAGGGCTCTTGTGAACACGGTAATGAACCTTCGGGTTCCATAAAATGCTGGAAAATTCTTGAGTAGCTGCAGATTTGGCTTCTCCTCAAGAAGGGCTCAGCTCCATAAGTACGTAAGTAAAGGGAGGGTGGGGGATCTATTACTTATTTCGAGGATTATGATGGTACTTTAGAACTTCACGATTTGGTTAAGAAAACAAAAACAATTAAATTGCCCGGACAACAGTTACCACAGATGCACATTCTGCCATTTAATACAAAACAAATGCAGAACTAAGCAGTGTATTGAGGCCGCGTCATAGCTCAAGCGGTTAGTCGCTGGCTTCCCACCACGGCGGCCCGGGTTCGATCCCGGGGTCTGGTCAAGTGGGATTTGTGGTGGATAAAGTGGCGCTGGGGCAGGTTTTCTCCGAGTACTTCGGTTTCCCCTGCCAATCTTCATTCCACCAATTGCTCCACAATCACCCTCACCTATCATCTGGGGCTGGTACAATAGGCCAGAAGTGGCCGCAGTACAAGGGACTTAGTCCCACCACACTAGCAATAAAAAAACAAAAGCAGTGTATTGAGACACAGCTGCCTCGCAACGAGCCGTGGTTCGGGATCATTGCGTTTAAATGATCTTACATCACTACTGAATGTTAATATCTCGGCTGAACGTCTCGGAAGTTGCGCTCGGCAACGCCATGCGTCACACTACAACCGATTCATTCTCAGAAACCCAACATCACGATTCTACAAGACATGGAATTTGAAGTTTAACAGGCGTACTGGAACTTGAACGCCATGCGACTAGAGAAGGCATAGTCACTGGGCTTGGGATGAAATTCCATGCATATCACGCGCGTAACTCAGAAGTGTTAACGCGTTCTCAGGGACTCCCAGTTCAGTCTCGCATATACAAATTCATTACGAACAATTTTTATAGTCCCCTCCGCCATATGTGTGGGTTTCTGGAAAATATTTTGCATACATTTCTTAGTTCTTACGAATGCTTCACGCCCTGGCCGTGGTATGCTCCATTTAATCACCCCGATAACACATATTTCGCGGACAGCACAACTTATGAAGATCTTCAATATGCAGTTTCATCCTCTTGTAACTTCCTTTCTCTACGGTCTAAATATTCTCTTCAAAATCATGTTCTCAAAAATGCTAAATATATGATTTTGCGGTGACGATGAACATTTCATAACATACACAATATCTAATCCAGAGCCTTTTGTCTTCTCGTCTGCTGTCCAAAAACATAAAAATTGGAATATACAAAACTATAATTTTGCCTGTGGTTCTGTATGGGTGTGAAACTTAGTCTCTGACATTAAGGGAGGAACACAGGGTGCTGAGAATATTTGCACCAAAGAAAACTGAAGTGATGAGAGGCTGGAGAAAACTGCATAATGAGGAGCTTCATAACTTGTACCCTTCTCCAAGATTAATTAGAATGATGTCAAGGAGGATGGGGTGGGCAGAGCATGTTGCATGAATGGGGAAGAAGAGGAATGCATATAGGATATTGGTGGGAAAGCCAGAATGAAAGAGTCCACTGGGAAGACCAAGGCGTAGGTGGCTGGACGACATTAAAATTGATCTTAGAGAGATAGAATGAGATCGTATGGATTGATCTGGCTCAGGATAGGGACCAGTGGAGGATTCTTGTGAAAACGGTAATGAACCTTCGGGTTCCATAAAATGCTGGTAAATTCTTGAATAGCTGCAGATTTGGCTTTACTGAAGAAGGGCTCTGCTCTATAAATAAGTAAGTATACAATACCCAGATCTATATATAGTTTTATGTTTTAATCTTCATATATCGTATACTTGAGTCTTTGGAAGAAAAATATTCTACACTGAATGGTAGCAAACATTCCCAGAATTTAATCAACACTTAAATTTTCTTGAATATAATTTTTTATTTGTTAGTGTTACCCTTATTTCACTTTAACCACAATGATGAAGGAATCAACATATGCCTTCATGTTGTTTTCTTGTCCTGCGATTTCCTGACGAGACATGACTTTATAAATACTTAAGTTTTCTCTGCGTTTACTTCTAGATAAAACTCCATACTGGCATCCAACAGTTTGTATTTCTTTTTTTACTTTAATATTTCTGGTCAATATTAATTATTATCAGAATACATCAGACTGAGGAAACATTTAATATCATTTAGAACTGCACTGTTAACGTTTATTTATGAAATAATCTATTAAACATTGATAACACAAACTAAATGTTTATGTTACATATTCTTGATTTTTTAATAGTAAATAAACAAGCTACTGTGAGCGGGAGGGGGGGGGGGGTGTTAATAAAGATGTCTTCTGGGATGTGGCTAAGCGAACGTTGCGAATGTTTCGGGGGAAGCTACACCTTCATTCACCCTGAAGACGGATGTGCCTGATGATCTTTCTTCCGAAGCACTGGTAACTTCCTACCAGGTAACACGGCATCACATCTCAGACGGCAGTTAGCTTACAAATAATGTTATATGTTACTACACGCGGTAGCGTAGTTGGTTGAGGCGCTGTGCTACAAGTCGGAAGGTCACCGGATCGAATCCCGATTAAGTCATTGGAATTTTTCAATTTACCTAAGTCTTCCAGCCGCACTATGGCCCTGGGGTCGACTCAGCCTCTAAGAGAAATGAATAGCAGGAATATTCTTGGAATGTTCTTGAGGATAAAGGGCGGCAGGTGCGTAAGGCTGACAACTTTACCGCCATCTATGAGCCGACTGTCTAGAAAATGTGGGAACCTCAACATCTCACAACGCTGTGGGTCTCCACGGCCTGTTACAGGGATACCTTTACTTACTTTACTTTTTACTACACATATGTACTGCATATTAACCAAAATGTGTTACGACCTGATTCAGTGTAACCAACCCATACTACACACTGAATATTTTGTGCCCCGTACAAACACAGAACAGAATTACCTAACCAGAAAGATGACTCACGCATTCGAGGTTCAATATATTTGATCCGGTACCGGGCATCCCAAGTTACATGTTGTGCTTGCTTTTCCTTATCTTTTCACAAAATTGCAAACTTACTAACGTCCTTTCAAATTCACACGAAAGCTCCACTCTTACTTCAATATCACTGTCGCATGCCACAGAATTAGAGTACAGGAACAAGAATATGAAACAGGTAGGTTAAATCGTGACATACCTGACACATCTGGAGGATCTAGTGACAGTGGTCAGTGCAACTGCAGCGCATCTTATCTGTAAACAAGCCCGGCGTAGTCTTGTGGATCGATCTTGTAACTCACCACTGTCTCACCGCACTCACCACCACACTCTCAAGTCTCACCACCATTTTATTTTGCAGAACGATGAGCGGACGGTAGCATGGACGGGAAATAAACAAAAGATAGACGCGACCAGCGAGCTATTTCGATCCAGGCTTCTCCTTTGCACGCCAGATAAATACTGAACAGCAACTAGGTCTGTATCTATGGGGACACTACGCTCCCGCTCGCTTGCACGACCACAGTCAGGGCTGCCAACACGCGCAAAACCAGCTAGTGCGATCAATTCATTCGATGCTGTCTTGTCAGATGACATCAGATCCGAACTTGTGTTCAAGCAAGTGTAAGGCTTTTAATGGATCCTTGTCATGGACGAAAGAGAAATTTGCACATTTCCCTTTTAGGATTATGCTTGGAGGAACCAGCGCTAAATAACCAACGAGGCTTATTCACGGCCCAGCTTTAACATGCTTATAGTTATTAACTTACACTGAAGTTCGATGAAACAGTTATATTAACGCTTTGAGGCACGATTATTTCTGAATATTTAAATATTCACCCCGAGTGGAGGCTGGTTCGATGAGTGGTCAGCTTCATGCCCCAGCCGCTTTACCTCCGGCACCTATTGGATAGGAGGCTGGATGGGCCAAGAACCGGTCTTGTCCACACGAAGAGAAAAATCTCACACCTACCGGGACTCGAGCTCCGAAACCTCTGCCGTCCAGTCACTATACCCACTGAGCTATCCCGGTAACGAATGATGGGTACCAAATTCGCAACGCTGGAAATCTCGTTAAACACACAGGACTTTTCTTCCATAATACCAGGGCCAAACAAAGGGCTGTAGAGCCATTGTAGAATGAATGAATATTCCGACGTGGCATTTTTTTGTGGCCACTAACTTCTCTGAATATATATTTGGCTTTAACGAGATGAGACGTTGAGAATACCCTGGAGCGAATTGCAACATACAAACATGAATTCTACAAACTTACATCAAAAGAGAAACTTGGAGATGTTAACTGGAAATTACACCTATAATTCTATAACCGTGCCTATGTCTTCCGAAAGCAGCATCTATCTTGGTTCGTTGAAAATCTACAGTACGTTACAGGATTGGTGGCGGGAAAGGGAACTTATCCAATGGAATTTCTCATCTCACGACACTGTACGTATCGGAAAACTTGTCACCAAAGAACAGCTGACGATAACTTTGTGAAGAAACTTACAATACAGAAATGGGACGTACATTCATAAAGAACTTTCTTTCACAATCTTTCCCACTTGGTGACACATTGCAATATACATAGGACTATATCTCACAGCATACGCAATCTTGAATTACTATAATGCGTGACAATAAAGTTCCCGAACTGACGCTATTACAGTAATACTACTAACTCCATCTATCAGACTGCGCCATAGCTCAAGCGGTTAGTCCCTGGCTTCCCACCGCGGCGGCCCGGGTTCGGTCCCGGGTCTGGTCAAATGGGATTTGTGGTGGACAAAGTGGCGCTGGGGCGGCTTTTCTCCGAGTACTTCGGTTTCCCCTGCCAATCTTCATTCCACCAAATTCCGCATCGTCATAATCACCCGGGGCAGGTACAATAGGCCAATCAGTGGCCGCCGTGCCGAGTGGACCCAGGACTCCACCCACCACTAAGCGAATAAAAATAAAATAATAAAAAAATAGAACTCCCATCTATCGATCCAACAGACTGTAACGAGAGAACTGAAAGTGACACGGGAAGAAAAGTTTTCTCGGGCATTCAATTCGTTGTAGGAGCGATGTAAACGTTGTGCGGGGCCTATGTTGAGTGATGGTATTAAAAAATATGTTTTATCTTTTTGTGTCGTTTTTTAGCCTCGTGTGGCCCCCAGCCTTATTCTGCATGAAATATGCAGAGGCTAAGGCTTTCATTGCCATTGTAGTTTTCTGAGGCGCGACGGCCTGCAGTTTGGTGCCGATAGGTATCAACATATCAAGAAGAACCTGGTGTTCATATCTTCAGGTTTCTCCGAAATAGTAGTACTTGTTTACTAAACTGTAAGGCGCCAGATCCCAAAGGACTGTATTCCCGATATTCACCTGCGTGGGCATGTCACAACTCACTAAAGGTTTCTTTATCGCATGAGGCTACCCCCCCCTCTCTCTGGATGTACAGCCCTTTGGATCTTGGCCGCTTTTTCAGTTTCTTAATCCTATACAAGGTCGGTAGGACTCCTTGGACGGACGATCAGCCCATCGCAACGCCGCTACCTACACACAGAACAACACAAACACAGAATAAACCTACACAATCATCCATGCCTCGAGTAGGATTCGAACACATGATCCCATTGTTCGAGATGGCGAAGACGGTTCATGATTTAGACCGCGCGGCCACTATGATCGGCTGCACGTGTACCCCACCTAAAGAATTTTGAATAACATGATGGATTTTTGTGAAAATTTGCATGAATATCACGTCATTAAAATCTACTATATTTTCGTAATTTTATATTTGGTACCATTGTTAATACCAGCTTGGATATTTGTGGCGTGTTTTGCTAATACTGTCGGCAAATAAATCATGTAGCGTCGAATGGTAAGAGGACTGACGAAATGAAAAGAATTTGGAAGGAAACCGTCGCGTTCTAATCTAGATACTATCACATTTACTAGGGGGACTGAATAGAATCACGAAAAGTACCTCAGTCAGAACATCAGATATCCCGGTATATGTACGTACCAATGGTGTTTCTAATACACGCGAAGAGGTTTGGGGTTGGTGGGTGTATAAACTTCTGCGTAGCAATAGCACAGTTTAATCTATCGCCCTGAAATTTCATGCGGTGAGCCTTCACTCACTGGATGAAGAGTACACATTCTGAGTTGTGCTGCTGCGTATTTCGGTCGACTTCTACCCATCTGCAAGGCGTTAAAACGGACGTCGACTCAGCCTATAACAGAAAAGAGCAACAGGAATCTTCCTGGGGGGTAAAGGGCGGCCGGCGCGTAGGGCTGACAACCTCACCGCCATCTGTGATCCGACTGTCTAGAAAATGTGAAAGCCTCGACGTCTCACAACCCTATGGGCCTCCACGGCCTTTTATAGGGATAGCTTTACCTTAACAACAAAGTATACAAAAAAAAGGAGCCGGGATAACGTAATTGGTATAGCGACTGGCTACGGGCTGGACGTGAGGAGCCGGGATAGCGCAGTCAGTATAGCGACTGGCTACGGGCTGGACGTGAGGAGCCGGGATAGCGCAGTCTGTATAGCGACTGGCTACTGGCTGGACGTGAGGAGCCGGGATAGCTCAGTCAGTATAGCGACTGGCTACTGGCTGGACGACCGAGGGGTGGGAAATATATTATGTAATATAATAAATAGGTCAAGCATCTTTACGTGTTAAGTAGTAACTGAGATACATGGCTCAGGCGGTAATGCTTCTACCCGGTTCGAGCCTCGACTAGGACAACGACTAGACTGACAAAGGCTTTCATTGTTTTCCTCAGTCCCTCCAGGAAATTCCGGGTTACAACGTCCCCTTGTGTTACAATGGCGTCTTGTCTCGTTCTTGTCAGTTCACTACACATAATGCTCGACAGTACGCTGTCCGATACACAGGGTCGCTAAATAAACTGCACAGATGCACTAATCTCTGAACACAGAATCGATTGTTAATTAGTTACAAATACGTTACACAACGGAATGCTTCAATTCAGATTCCTATGTACAAGTTGATCTACCAAAGGTGTCTCCACATTGTCGTGGTGGTGGGGCTTGCGTGACTCTGTGACCTGGAGAGCTATGCCGGCGGTAGTTTAACTGCCGGTAGGGTCACCCATGCCGGAAAGGTCAAAGGGTAGAGTCCAGACTAGGAGAGACCCTGGTCCTCCAGGTTGGGGGTTGGGTATGAGGCTAACAACCTCATCCTGTAAAATGTATTTTGTTCAGAAACCTAACAACCAACCTCGGGTCGTCATGCGTGGATCCATTCCTATGGCAGCACGCATTGGTTGTGGAGACCGGTTGTAGAGGAGGCCAAGGCTCACCCAGGGCTGTAGCGCCGAGTGGTAGATACGTGGGTAAATATAAAGGTAAACAAGTAAATTTATCACTCTGCTTAATTAATGAAGCATGACGCCATGAAGGGTATGAGGTATTGGAAGTATAGTTTCACGTTCTTGACCTCGGCACTAGATGGAGGTGAGTGGTCAGCTTTGCCCCCGGTACCCATTGGATAGGAGGTTGGGTGAGCCATAATGCCGGTCTGGACAAGGAGAAGAGAAAAATCTTTTACCCCTCTCACGAATCGAACTCCGGCCGTCAAGCTTGCAGCCCGTTCATACACCAACTAAACTCATTCTATGCAATGGCACCGGATTCTGTTTCTTCAGGTGTAAATCTGTCACAGCGTAAAACGGGTCGCCTATCTTCACTTAGTCCGCATGTTTATGTATGCATGACGTATCGATTAAGCACGGGAGCAAGTTTAGACTTTATACAAATGCAAACTCGTCGAATTAACAGACAGATCACAATAAATATTAATACTATATTTCAGGATAAATATCAGCGTCAAAGTATTACAAATGACAGTAATAAGAATTTAATAAAACGAAAGGAAAACAGGCCGATGAGAAGATATGGGATCTCAAATTGTATTAGCTTACACAAATACACAGAAACACATTTGAATTCATAATATCCCGACACACTTAGAAACACGTAGCATAGAACACGAATGCAGCAACACTGCAGCTGAGAAACACTGCCTTAATCTGCCCTTAGCTACTGACACGGTGTGTCATTTTACGAGGACCACTAAAGAACACTGTTCACCATGTAACAAAACAGTGATAAAATGGCATTTTCGACGTGATGTAGTTATTTTGGCAGACCATAATTCTTACTGTCCTTTAAAGAACAGTAGTTATTATATATTTATATACTTATACATATGCATATATAAACTACTGTCCTTTAAAGAACTGCATTTTGCATGCGGTAGCGTAGTTGGTTGAGGCACTATGCTACAAGCCGGAAGGTTTAGGTTCAAGTCCCGATGAGGTCACTGGATTTTTTTCAGTTGACCTAATCCTTCCAGCCGCACTATGGCCCTGGAGTCGACTCAGCCTCTTAACAGAAATGAAGACCAGGAATCATCCTTGGGGAGGTA